ACAATTTAAAACACATCAAATAATTTCATTCTTTCATTCACTTATTTCCATGACCTCCTCACACCTCCCTTTTTGTATTCCACTTCTATTTAGTTGTTTCAGCAATTCCTTTCCATCTTCCTCTGCTTTCCATCCTATAATTATCTTAACACATTTTAACCTTATTTTTCCCTTTAATTCTCTATTAATCTATTTATACTTAATTCCTTATAACATTTCTACTGAAGCCATATAACTTCATTCCAACATTTTTCTAACATTCATTAATTTTACAATATTTCTGTAAATAGTCTTTAAACTTTTTCCAATCTTCTTCCACCGACTCTTCTCCCTGGTCTCGGATTCTGCCAGTCATTTCCGCCAATTCCATGTAGTCCATCAACTTCATCTGCCATTCTTCCCGGGTGGGTAAATCTTGTGTCTTCCAATACTTCGCGATGAGTATTCTTGCTGCCGTTGTAGCATACATAAAGAAGTTTCTATCCTTCTTTGGCACCAATTGGCCGACCATGCCCAGGAGAAAGGCCTCTGGTTTCTTCAGAAAGGTATATTTAAATACCTTTTTCATTTCATTATAAATCATCTCCCAGAATGTCTTAATCCTTGGGCATGTCCACCAAAGGTGAAAGAATGTGCCTTCAGTCTCATTACATTTCCAACATTTATTTTCGGGCAAATGGTAAATTTTTGCAAGCTTGACTGGTGTCATGTACCACCTATAAATCATTTTCATTAAGTTTTCTCTTAGGGCATTACATGCCGTAAATTTCATACCTGTGGTCCATAACTGTTCCCAGTCAGCCATCATTATATTATATCCGACATCTTGTGCCCATTTAATCATAGCTGATTTCACCGTTTCATCCTGGGTGTTTCAACAGCAAGTTATACATTTTTGACAAATTCTTGATTTTGGAATCTAACAGTTCTGTTTCCAATTTTGATTTTTCCACCTGGAAACCAACTTTTTTGTCCAAATTGTATGCCTCCATTATTTGATAATAATGGAGCCAATCTCGCACTTTATTTTTCAATTTTTCAAAGCTCTGCAATTTTAGTCTGTCTCCCTCTTGTTCCAAAATTTCCCAATATTTCGGCCATTTGGCCTCCATATTGAGTTTTTCTGTGCCTTCGCTTCCATTGGTGACAACCATCTTGGGGTTTTCTTTTCTAACAAATCTTTATATCTTATCCATACATTAAACAATGCTTTTCTAACAATATGATTTTTAAACGCTTTATGTGCTTTTACCTTATCATACCACAGATATGCATGCCAACCAAATATGTTGTTAAAACCTTCTAGGTCCAACACATCAGTGTCTTCAAGTAGCAGCCATTCTCTCAGCCAACAAAAAGCAGCTGATTCATAATAGAGTTTTAGGTCTGGCAGGGCAAATCCACCTCTTTCTTTAGCATCAGATAATATCTTAAATTTTATTCGAGGCTTCTTGCCCTGCCAGACAAATCTGGAAATATCTTTCTGCCACTTCTTAAAACAATCCATCTTATCCAAAATTTGTAATGTTTGAAACAAGAACAACATCCTTGGCAGCACATTCATTTTTATCACAGCAATTCGGCCTAATAGTGATAACTTCAAATTTGACCACATTTCTAAGTCTTTTTTCACTTCGGTCCAACATTTTTCATAATTATCCTTAAATAAATTTACATTTTTAGCAGTCATATTAACCCGTATTAACCAATGTTAATCCTGTCTCTTCCTGAAATTTCTCTCTCTCATTTACAGTTAAGTTTTTCTCTAAGACCTTAGTTTTCATCTTGTTCAGCTTAAAACCTGCTACTTGCCCAAATTCTTGAATCAATTCCAATACCCTCTTTGTGCTAGATTCTGGTTCCTGTAGAGTCAATACTAGATCATCACTTATTGCTACATAGCTTTTATTGTAGACTGGCTTCTCTCCTGACTCCATCTTTCTGGTTATTTATTTATTTGCTGGTTATTTATTTGCTGGTTATTTATTTATTTGCTGGTTATTTATTTATTTGCTAAAAATTCTAGACCATCAGCACGAAGAAAAAAATACATCATGGTGGTAACCAGTATCAAAACAACAATAAAACTGCTTTCTTAAAATAAATTCAGAATACATCACAAATCAGTAGATTGTGTACGCCAAACATTTTTTTTTCTGTTCTGATGTAGAGTTTATTTTTCAAGCAGTTTATTCCTTTGTACTATGCTCATTTTTCAAAAGCAATTTAATCAGTAAAACGGGAAATTTGCTCTTGCATTGTATCTCTATGAGCCCAGAGGATCACTTGATTGACACTATTATTTCTGTTTCTATTGAAAAGTGCCAATTAGCCAGATTCCTCAGTGAGAAATTCTCATTCTGAAAACACTGCAGCCTCCTTTCAATAAGCCTACAGGTCACAGAGGTAAGAAATGAATTTATAACATAAAAAAACTCAACCAAAATAAATACAACCAGTCTAACAAGATGTTTGGATCCTGAAAATGCCGAGGGACCAGAAGAAAACAAGCATCCCTTTCCATCAAACAGAGTTCTGCCCTAGGACAAAATGTCAGCAGTAGTTTATGGTAGGGATGTAGCTCCCTCCAGAATCCAGACTAAGTAGAAGGGATGGGAGTTGTTGCTTATTAGGAAGCTGTCTAATACATTCTGCAGAAAATGTTCATGCTCATAGGAGACAACAACTCATTAATAGAACTGTCATGAAAATCACCCCAAATAATTTTGCAACTCATCAGGCTCAAATTTTGATGTGGTGTTTTATCACTTACACAAAGTTTTCATGGAACTGGAAAGTTAGAAGGCAAGAAAATGATTCTGTGGTGCTACACGATCTACATTAAAATTGTTTAGGAACATAATGGAAATAAAACAGTTACACACACAACTGTATCTTCATTCATTTATAGGGAAAGATACAGTAGAACCTCTACTTATGACCGCCTCTTCTTGGGCCCGATCCAAGTTGCGACCGCGGCAAACCCGGAAGTAAATACTGGGTTTGCCATGATTCGTGCACGCGCAGAAGCAGCTTCTGCCATTTGTGCATGCGCAGAAGTGGCTGCCGCTGTCTGCACAAGTCCAGAGGCTACCATGCACGGTGAGTTTACCTTCAGTTTAAAAACTAGAGAAGTCACCATTTTGGGTTTTTTTTCAAGGCCTCTCCCCCTTCTTGGACGTATTCTCCATGAAAAAGAGAGAGAGCGCGCTATGATTTTTAATTGTTTGTTAGGAAAAAGAAAAATTCCAATAGTCTAACTCTGCTGCTTACACCCTCAGGAGAGAATGGCATAATACGTGAAGAACAACTCTGTTTATTCCTCAAATCACTGTGATTGGAGTACACTGGAGAAAGAATTAACTATAAATGAAAGTTAGATATGTCCATCAAACCAAAAGAGCCTCCACCTCTTTGCTTCTTACTTCTCTCCTTTATGCCCCCTCGCCTTGTGAGATCTGTACATTTCTCCAGCTGGGAAGTTGTGAAAAACAAAAACTAGCAACATAATATATAATAAAGGTCAATAAATCTGCTACCTTTTTCAGGACTAAAGTATTCTTCACTTGGCATCTGAAGGACAATAATGTAGGGGATAGTCGTTTGTCTAGGGAGGGTGTTCCATAATGGTGGTGTCACAGGCAGCTAAGATGGCCTCATCATTGTAGCTACCTAACTTCTCAAAGTGGGGACACCTCATGTTTGTATTGAAGAAGACAGCCCTTTAGATAAGTTGGCTGCATGTCCTGTATGGTTCAAGATCATCTCTATGAATTGTGCCCAGAAAGGAATTAGAGGTCAACAAAGATCTTACACACATACAAAACCTGGGGAAAAATTTAAAGCATTTAGTAACTGGGACGCTGTTTTCTGAATCAGCTGAAATTCTGAACCCTTTTCATAGCCATACCTACACATGCATTGAATTATTCTATACCGTACATTACAAAGGCATAGAAAAAAAATGTGGGTGTATTGATCCATCCACAGCAGGTACCCACAAAAGAAAGTAAGTTGGTGGTGTCAGCACCACATAAAGCCCCAAGTAGTCCTCTGAGCTGTGACAGTGTCAAGGCCATTTTGTCCATGAAAGGTCACAGCAGGCGCACCAACCAAGTTGGTGAAAGGTGCTCTAAGCATCCATCATTAAAGGTTTTGCACACACTATGCTATGTCACTCTTCTCCCACAATAATCCAGATGACCTTTTCATTTTAGAGACAGACTTGGTATTTATTTCTTTGTGTGCCAATTTCTTTCTTGCTTCAAAAAACAAAATGGGCAAAGATGGACAAGCAGCCAAATATCCTAGGGTGTGCAAAACCTTAAGGAGGAGGAAAGCAACTTTGAAAAAAATATTTTAGCAAAACAGGCAGTCAACCCCCTGCCGTGCTGCTTATCTACATCAAATCAAACCAACCCAAATTGTCAACGTCCTGATTATGGAATTGTTTCCACTCTGGAAACAGTTTGCCGTAGTCGAGAATGATTTGAGCTAAATTGGGGTTATGTTTCATTTGAGTCTACAGAATGGTATCTGGAGAGCCCAGTCAGCAGAAGCTCAGCTGCAGGATGTGCGTGAAAGTACCATTGCAGGTTAACAGGATAGACAGCGGAAATTGAACTAGTGCACACTGGAGCCAATGCTTCATCATTCCGGCAATGATTTGCTAAATAGGACTAGTCATTCTTGCTATCAATTAAAGGAGAAACTAATTTACAGTAGTTAAGAATGAAATCCCAAAGGATTCTTGATAGGGCTGGGGCTTGATTAGCTATAAAACAAAGATTCATTTGATAGGGATGCGGTGCATTATAGTTTTTTGAACATTGTTAAAGATCTTTCCCCCATCAACTCCACTGGGGTTGTCGAGGAAAGGCTTCAAATCTGTGGAAAGAGGCCCAAGACATAGCACACATTAATTGGCAAAGACCCAGGGCTAGTAGTTGTTTTAATTGAGTGTTCAACCATAGTCCAATGTGTCTTTTAATATATATTATCTTTGTAAGTAATTGCTAAAAAGTCATTTATGTCTATATTTTAATTCTTAAAGGCAGTTATTCTCTCTCTCTCTCTCTCTCTCTCTCTCTCTCTCTGTGTGTGTGTGTGTGTCCCAAACCTGTTTCTCGTTTCATTGTTCACAAAACAAGCGAGGTACGACTTCAAATATCCTGCTGCCTCTATCTGCCTCAGTAGAGTGTCACCTACCACCAGCACATGTCTCTTCTTCTGGGAAGCAGCAGGAATCATTCTGTACACTGTACCGTCCATAGCCTCCTTGATGTATTCTGAGTTCTGTAACTGCTGCCCTTGCTCCTCTGGCCCATAATCAGGGTCTGTGTGTCATGTTCATCCAGGGGTTCATCTCCTGCAATGGAAGAGCTTCCTCCTCCCTAGGAGCACCCCATCTCTGTCACTGTTCCAGGACAGTCCACTCTGCTTAGTCAAGAAATCCCTCATCTTGCTCAGTAGCTTGAAGTGTGGCTAGGTGGGCCTCAAGTCACTGTACCTTCTCTTCCAGCAAGGCAACCGGCTCACAGTTGCTGCAAGTCTAGTTTTGCACATTCTTAGGCAGGAAGACAAACATGGAATAAGTGTTGGAATAAGCAGCTCCCTCGCTGTTCATGTCTCTTGGTCCTATGTACACTGTGAAACAGCACTCCAAGCTTCCCCCTCAAAATGTCCTCAGAAACCCCCATTTACAAGTGCTGGTCACAAGCTCCCAGAGGCTGCAGTCAGCTAAACAGCACCGCTGATATAGCTGCTTATGAACACTGGTGTTGGGACTGATGGCAGCTTCAAATGGTACACCCACCACAGATGATCTTCTTCCTTAATGTTATAGTTTTTATAACTCAGTGGTCACACTGGTCTCTTCCATGTCTAAGCAACTAAAAGAGGTTGCTAGAGGACAGAAATGGATGAATGTGGCATAGCAATTTAAATCCCTCGTCCCTGAGCATTTGGAATCACAGCATAAGGCCTGGGCTCTGATTCTGAAATCTTTCTTTGACTTTCAGTAATTCAGTGAGTAAAATTCAGAAAGTTAACTCTGCAGCCATACAGCTTAATAATAATTGTGAGGAACTAGGGCCAAGGTGAACTAAAATGGAGATATTGCTGGTTTCAATTCACATGATTCTTTTCTTGAAAAGAAAAAAGAAAAACCCAGAAAGCAACCTTTGTGGGAAGCATCAGGAAACTTGCACAGCTCTGATAAGAAAAGACATATCATAAATATTCATTAAAAATTACCTTTTCTGGATCATGAATTTTTCAAACAGGCACTGATTTGACCTCTGCAGAGAAGAAAATCCAGATTATAAGGTCCAGTTTCAGCTTTTTGAGACATGCAAATGCTCCCCAAATCATGTTATTCTAGTTAAACATCTATTCAAATATTGTGTGGAAACTATTCACTTCAGTTCTGAGACCCAGATTTAGCATTCATTTTAATACAAGCTGTAATTTTACATTCTCAAAGCATTGCCTACTGTGGTTTGTGAACTGCCATTAATAACCATGGTTTGCATACTAAATAGTTTCGTAAACTACTATGCTTGGCCTTCTAAATGTCTTTGTTACTCTAGCCATTTTACTATGTCAGTAATGTATTTATTTTCATTTTGTAATTATTTCAACTGTAGGGGTCTGGATTTTGAAAGCTATGGGATTACATATCTGATTTTTTGAACATATACCCTTCATTTATGGCATTTCATCAGAAATTAGAAGAAAGCTTACTTTATTGAACCAAACATTTAAAGAAAAACTTGAGTACTCCTTCCAGCCCTTTCATATAGGTAAATGAGCAGCTAATAAAAAAATGATTAATGGTTTATATATTACGTCCCTATTTGACTCATACAAAATTGATAAAATATGTAGTTTGCGGTTTAAAGTCACTGGTGCAGCTGTTATTTCAGAAATTCACATTATTACCACTTCCCCAAATTTGTACATGACAACAGGTACCTCTTTTGTTTCATCTCCTCCACATAGGGGAACAGACTCTAATTATATGTGCAAAATGAACTGGAGTCAAGAACTGTCAATAGACTATTTTTAAGAAGTTTTATTGGATATTGCGTGTATATAAAAGGGGCAGTAAGCCATAGCTTTTCCTCACTGCAGATTATCCAATACACTTCCATCTCTCAAAGAAGAGAAGGGAGAAAACTGAAGGTCTAACAGCTAAGAGCATATAAGAGAGACAATTCTTCTGCACGTTCAAGATCTAACCAAAGGCCAAAAGAACTCATATTCCTAGTGGCTGCCTCCCTTGTCTTAGACATACTTAGAAAGCTCCATCTGGGTGATAAGGTCTACTTCCAGTGAGAAATCATCTTCAGTTAATGTGTCCCAGCCTGTTTCATTAGCCATTAACTCTGACCATAGCTCAGCTGGGTCTTCTGGAATGGAGCCTGAGAAGAGCAACACTAATTTTTCAGAATGGAATGCTGCTGGCAAAATGAGATTCTCTTTTTCTGGAGCTTCTGAGTAAATGGGGAGATCTTAGTCCAACTTTGAGGGCAAATACTTCCCCATTAGCATATTTTCTCCAAATCCCCAATCTAGTCCTCTGAAGACAGGGAGTCAGATCCCAGGGACATGATGTTAACTGGCATCCAATAACGTTCTAATATCTCCAGCCCACAACAAATAAAGGTTTCGTGTCAACATTATTCTCTCAATTCGTCTTTTTATGATGGACGCTACATGTTATATAGCAAATGGAATTCTACATTTGTAATGAAACAGGTTCACCAGCAATTCTGGGGTTGGATTGTGATCAAACTCTTACTCCCTGCTGTTTTTTGCCCAAGGCATGGAAGATACATGGCTGTAGCAAAAGGGTATTTTTGTTCATTCAAGGAGAGCAAAATTCCACCAGGAATTCTAACTCGACCAGGTCCTCCCCTCCTGTTGCTGCGCCCATCCCAAGCTGTCACAGGGGCTCCCATACTTCATTTTCAGGTGTTCACAACACATATACTAAAGAGCAGGCGGGTTGCTGGGAAAACTCCATTGTATGAGCCTGATAGCTTCTGCACTTTGCTGGCTCGAACAGAGTGTCAGCAGCCTGTTCCTCTAGTTTTCTTTGGTTTTCTTTGAAAACTCATTCTTGAAATGCTTGCAATATCTACTCACCTTGCAGTGTTTCGCTTAAGACAACTCCGTACAGGAGATATGATAACTGAAAAGCTGAGAATATCACTTCGAAAACGACTGTCCAGTTTGATTCCTGCTGGTAGCCTTTGTAAATGGATTTTGAAATGTGAAGAGACTGTGACTAACAGGGAAAAAATGGGATCCGGAATCTCTAGATTTTTGTTATGTATAACACTCTGTTGACCACAGTGGTTTTCAAACCTTGATAATTCACTTAAGCACCTCCATGATTTGTTGGTCAAGATAAACATAAAACCCTTCTAGTGTGGAAATGTAAAAAAGAAATCTTAGCATGATTTAAACCCAGGCAGTGAGACATCTTTAGCATCAGGAATTGCATTAGAAAGCAGCTATCTTAGTTCATGAAGTGTACCCTTCCTAGGTTGTCAGGGGCTTAGGGCTGCTGCAGTCTGCAGTGAATGAAGGGCAATAATAGCTACATTTAATCAAACACTAAAGCCAAATGATAAATATTAAATGCGTCCTTTAAAAATGTTAATCTTCCTTTTAGGCTTTGTTTTTACATGACATTTTAAATTACCTTCTGACAGATAAATTCTATATGCCTCAGACACTAAAGTAAGCCCATTTGTTTGGTTGGGAAGGCAGAAATCTGACAGTGACTTTTATTATGTTTTACATTTTAATGCACACATCCAGCACAGAGCTGAAGCAAGCTGCTTCCTAGAGATTTGAGATGTGGCATATAGTGTGCCCTTACCCCCAAAAGCAAGGTATATGCACACATACAAGCCATTCTTTATGAACAACATGATTGCTATTTGCCTATTTCAAATAGAATCCAAACGTGCCAAGCACAGCAAGAATATTGAGAGCAAAGAATGCTTAATATTCTAGCCCAGCTCACTAAAAGAAGAAGAAGGGGGGAAATTGAAGCATTGAAGTGACAGAGCAGTGTTCTGTAGAGCAACATGATGTGTCTGCTTTAAATGGAGAATAATGGATTTAAGTTTAGTGCAGAACTAAAGGGCTCAATTACTATTCATGAATTCTGAAATGTTCTACTTCAGAAACTCTTTTTGCATGAAATGTTCATCAGAATCAATGTGTGAAACTACAAGAAAGTAAACCTTTTCCACCCTTCGCACAATGCAGTTCTTAACTAGACCGGTACATTTACAAAAGAGCATTTCATTGGAATTCCTGAGTCGGTAAAACTAGCTACCTAAAATAAATACAGTGGATTGCAATGGCGGTTGTAGGTGAAGAACCCCTGCTAGCTCCATTTGGAACGTGTACGTTTCCTGTGCTAAATGGACTACCATTTGTCTTGAGGCTTCCGTACTTTGGAGGAGTCGTTGCCATGGGGACAGGAGGTAATCTTTTTGTTAGTGGAGACATTAATTTGTCACTCTTTAAAGGCAGCAGTAATGATTTTACTATTGAAGGAGCCCCAGAGATATTTTGTTTCATGTTCCGGGAACATTATTCACCATGAAACCAACACTGACACTCATCTTCCTACCCTTCAGCATTTCATTTGGACTACACAGTATAATCCTGTAGCTCTGAAGTCCCAGAAAATGCTATCAGGATTTTGCATGACTGAGGCTGCAATCCTAAGCACACTGACTTGGATGTAGGTTCCATTGAAATCAATTGGACTTTGTCAGCTCAATATGCTTAGGACTGAGGTGCTGGGTCTGAGAGCATTACAGATAAAGCACAGCAGGTTTAAAGAACTCTGTAAGTGCAAGCTGAAAATACTGTGCACTTGCATTTTAGAAGTAGTAAGATGTGTGATGCACATACACATAAATCTGCACACATATATTCTTCAAATATCAAGTACGGTATATGCTTCTTGATAGAAGAGCTGGACCAAACTTTGCCAAACTGGTCCTTCCAGATGTTTTGTACCACAAGTCCCATCAGCCCCTGCTAGTATAAAATGTAGTCTTATTTATTGTTTTTTGAGAGTCTTTGTATATATCCCACCCTTTAGTTGAAAAATCTAGGGTGGTTCACAACCCTATAGATACAATCTCCATAAAATCAATACATTAAAAACAATAAATACATCTACTTCCACAGTCGATCCAGTAGCACCTTAGAGACCAACTAAGTTTGTTCTTGGTATAAGGTTTTGTGTGCGTGAACACTTCTTTAGATACACTGAAACAGAAGTCACCAGACCCTTATATAACTTCTGTTTCAGTGTATCTGAAGAAGTGTGCATGCACATGAAAGCTTATACCAAGAACAAACTTAGTTGGTCTCTAAGGTGCTACTGGACATTTAAAAAATTTTATATATATATTTCGACTGTGCCTGACCAACACGGCTACCTACCTGAATCTACTTCCACAGTAAGCCAGAGAATAAGTACTGCAAGGCTGGTATTATTGACCAACAAAGGCTTGGGTAAACAAAGTCTTCAGCTAGAACCAAAAACACAACACCATAAATTCCTGTTATTGAGCCTTGCTGTCATTTTAAGTATGCCACTATGTCCAGTTTGCCCAGGAAGGAATGCAGTGTGCCTAAGTATATAATGCAAAAAAGCGGTAGCATGTAATTGATCACCTCCACCCACATTCATTCATAATAAGGGAACCTCTTGCTTGTTATGCACGTCAGCATGAGAACTCCAGAAAATGCAGACCTTTTCTGCCCCAGCTGACCTACTCAGACCATCCAAGAAACATCCTAATTTGGCTGGCTTAGAGCCCAGACAGAGCAAATACCATGCCTGAGGTGCTGCTACCACTCAGACAAATTAGCATTACATAAAAATTAGGACTCTCCACTGGATATACGCACAAAAGATCCTCTCTTGCTCACCACATACCTTTGAACTTATTACCTTAGGCAGAAAACTGAATCCTCAATGGATTGAACACTTAGATTCCCAAATATTATAGACCGTTCCACCTTATTTGTTCTAGAAAAACCGTCACTCAAGTTACCAAGTGCTATCATCTTCAAAATGTCATTCTTCACTATTCAGGGGATCTTTCCCAGCCTAAATTGACCCATTGCAGCCTGCGGTTTTGGGGCAGAATCTAATGAATAACTACAAAGGGAATGTGACCTTGTTGCTTCTCCAGGATATCTCATAGGCTTTTCTAACCATTGATCACAGTATCCTGTGGGGCACCATTTTATGGTGGTTTAGCTCCTATGTTCAGGGTTGGTTTCAGAGGAGAGAACTAGGTAACTTTGCCTCAGTCCTCTAGCAATGGAACTGTGGAGTATGACAGAGTATGATGTGTCCCCAATTTTATTCCATATCTATATGAATTTTATTCATATCTATGTGAAGGTGCTGAGAGAAGGCATTAGGAAATTTGGGGCAAGGTGTCACCAGCATAATACTGCATGAACCTTATTCACACTCACACCCACTTATGTTTACTTGGAATCACAGGGAGCAATTCTCCATACTGCTAAGTAAATCATCCCACCAGCACAAGAATTTCAGTTTGTCGCATGGAATTATCCTCCCTTTCCCTGCTGCATTGTTTGGGGGGAGGGGGGCCATGCAAGGGGTATAGAAGGAACAAAAAGACCTGTTGTGTTAGCAGAAGAGCTTGTGCTGGCTTCCATTAGCAGGACTCAGTAGTTGAATCCAGCCCACAATCATGCCATTTCTCAATATAATATTCCAGTTCTCTAAACTCTACAACTTTTTTCTTTTCTTTTTTCTAGTGCATAACTATTAAGTATTCAAGACTTGGAGAGAAGCAAGTCACTCTACTTTCAAACCACAAACTTACACTTTCACATGAATTGAGAAACAGATGCAGAGCCATGCACTGTTATATATGGACATACGAAGTTGTCTTATACTGAGTCAGGGCATTGGTGCATCTAACCCACACTTATCTCCTCTGACTGGCAGAAGGTCTCCAGAGTCTCTGGCAGAGGTTATTTCCATTACCTGCTAGCTGAGCACTTCACTGAAGATGCCGGGGAATGAACTTGGAAACTTCTACATGCAAAGTACTTGATCTTTATATTGAGCTCTGGCCTTTCCTCTGCTGCTGAAACATCAGAAAATGGAGCAGTACAGCTCAACAACCTGAGACACCTTTTGCTATGTTCTCAGGAAATAAAGCGGAACAGATGAGAGAGGAATTACATTTCTTCCTAGCACAATCAAGTCGTCAGGTATGATCTTTTCTTAAGTTTGTTGTGGTACCTACCAGGAGTAGACAAGGAACCGCTGGCTTAAAAAAAATATTAATGTGCTTAATGATATCTATAATTAATAAATATATTTGCATAATGTTCAAATGAGACTTTCTGGATTGGTGGACTGGGTTGTAGTGATGCTGTTTATTCTGAATATTAGACTTCCGTGTTTAATAGACTAAGCATGTGAACTTGTGTCCCTTTTTCTATATTGCAAATTTAGGCTTGTACTTAGAGAGGTAAATCAGAAATTTTAATGAATCAACAGTGGCCAAGCTGCCCCCCCCCCTTTTGGTGGGGGGGGCAGGTAATAGAGAAATTTGAGGTGATTTCTAAAGCCTCAGAAAACAAAGTTCTTTTGTTTGCATAGCCAATCCCTCAAAACAGCATATGCATAATTTTATCATCACTGTGTGCCATCTGGAGTGTATTGAATGAACTACAATTTCAAAATGAGGTGAATGGTATCATTTAATTTCATGCCTTTGGAGCAAGAAACAGATATTACTCCAACAGATATTAGGTTTATTTGAAGTGAGGACAATCATTAAAAGATTCATTGTGAAAAATACTGCCATTATTGCTTTACCAGAAAGGAGAAAGATTGCAAAGAGTCCACCGTTATATAATTAAAATAGATATTATGTTTAAGTAAACACTCCTCTAAATAGATCTTTAAATAGATAAATAATAAAGTAACAAGGAATGTTTTGGGAAAGATTGCACTGGTTTTAATAAAGGGTATTGTTGACAAGGGACCACTTTGCTGTTTTTCACAGGGCTTTTATTTCATAGGGGGAGACAGTAACAAAGAGATGCAGTTAAGACTCCAGTCAACAGCTCACAAAGTGGGAAATAGCATTATGAGCACCTGGGAATTGTACTGCTGCCAGAACATAGAATTTGTGGTTCACTTCAACTCGAGCGTTGACCAGTGGTGACCAATAAAAGAATCTGTAAGGAAACGTAAATATTGCAGTTCAGTCCTCCAAGCTGCAGAGATGTCATAAATTTCTACTAGACTTCCTGCAGTAGACTTACAGGAAGAATGCAGGGGGAACATACCAGTATTAAACTGGTCTTTGAAACAGAGAATATTGCAAATGCATTGTCAAAGAAGTAAGAGGCTTCCACAATAGCTTTTCACTCCTTTATATAACTCTCTCTGAAAAAGATTCTTAAGGAAGTTATAAAAACTGCTTTATCAAAGAGCTATCTAAGCAGCGTACATAATAAAATTGTAGATCAAACACAGCTAAAATCCATAAAACTATTAAAAACAACAACATATATAAAATACTGATCATTAAAACACAAATAACGATCATTAAAACAAATATAAAGCCAGTAAAATCTTTACAAGAATATAAGTAACTATATGGGGGCAGATTGGCTGAAATAAAAACAAAGCTTTCAGCAGGGATCATAAATATAGTGAGGGCACCTGTCTAATGTCATTATTCAGGGAGTCTGAACCCCAGGTGCTGCCACACAAATATACTGACTCCTTGCAAACACAGAACTTACATTGTGTATTACTTGGAAAAGTGCAAGTTCCATAGTATCTGCCAAATACGCACGGATGAGGCACATATATTTCAGCAGACTTGCAGCATATCTATCTTTTTATACAGATTTAGACAACCCACAAAAGAAGCCATACTATAAGAAAGGAGGCTCTATACAAAGCATGGAACAGTGTGAGGTTACCACATATATGCATTTTTTTAACCCATTACTTGGTAGGAGAACTGCAGTGCAAAATTCATGGGAATGCGAACTTGAAGGATAGCTTGAATATTGTTTTGGAAATCATGAATCAGCTATGGTCACCTTTAAATGCAAACCAAATCCAATTTCTGCCCCGTCCTTAGTGGCATGCTACAGCAATTAGTGTCTCTTATTGTGGCAACTGGATTAATTTGTAAGCGCTTACCATGACTTCTAATACCAAAGTTCATTATTAGCTTGGAAGACTTTCCCAACAAGCAAAGACTAAAAGATTTGAGGTAGGGATACTGTGGTAATCTGACAAATTCAATTTATACAAATTCGGTATTACATTTCCACTGGTATAGACAATTATAACCATTCATAGCTGAGTCTATCCTATTTACTTTCTATCGGCAAAAATTATTAGCCACTGAATGACAAAATTTTTGTGCAACCTGATAAGAAGCAAAAACAGTGGCTGAGTGTACGAAAAATTCTTGCACAAACTAGATTCTTATTTATTAAGAATGTTCCCACTTCCCTATACAGCAAAGATCAATGAAATGAACTGACAAGTTTTCAGGAATTAATGTTGTTGTTGATGATGTATCAGTCACTTTGTACAATAAAAATGGTAAAATACAACACATAAAAGGAATTTTAAACCAGAAAAATTAGAACAATTAACAATCAAAAATTCAAAAAAAAGCTCATCCAGTAATATATTAATCAAGACAAGTTCTACCTCCCTACTAAAAGATAAGCACCACCATAGGATACAACATTAAGTAACCAAAGGCCTGCGAAACAAAAAGGTCTTAGTGTAGCATCAAAAGATTGATAAGGTTGGTGCCACCTGCGTCTCCCCAAGACGGCATTCCACAGATGGAAGGACACCACTGAAAAGGCCCGTTCTCCTTCAAGTTGGTGCACAGAGAAAGGCCTCTGATGAAGACCACAGAGATATCTGAGATGGTGTGGTGAAAAGCTAGGAAACTGCAGGAATACAGAGACAGGTTTTGCTTGGCCTAAATTGGAGAGTTAATGAGGGCTTGGGGGAGGGGGTAAGATTAAAGGGACGCATGATAGAAGTTTATAAAATTATGAATGATGTAGAGACATTGTGCAACATTTTCCTTTGATTTATAATACTGGAACTTACGGTTTCTTTCTGCAACTTGGTGCCCTCCAGATTTTTTGGACTCCAGTTTTCATGATCCATGATGTGATGATCACACAGGGTCCCCGGACGTTTCACTATTGATCCCTGTGCCATTTTATTTCTCGCTGCCACCACCCACCTGGTACAGTACTGAGTCCAGTCAGGGTAAAATTGGAACATAAACTTCTGTTTATTTATTGCAGTTTAACAAGCATGTGGTTTCCTAAACGGTATCGGTCAATTACATTCATGGGGTGCCTATCCAGACCTATAACTTCCGCTACCTGCTCTCACTCACTAAACCACCTCTCAGATATTTACTTGTCTTCCTAGCCCCTAACTGTTCCTGACTCAGCTTATTTCGCTACACTAACTCAACCTACCCACAGACTCTATCCCAATTCACTCCCACTCCAACCAACCACCCAACTCCCAACGAACTCCTCCCTTCGCCCCTCCCAGAGCTGGTTTTATAGTCCCTCTGACTCCAAACCCTGGGTTCTGATTGGGTAACCTGTTTAACTATTTCACCTCCAGCACTCCCCTATGTTAACGTCACACATGACCACTGGAACTCAATCCAAAACAACTCCAGGGCACCTGTTTGTAGAGTGCTGACTAGGGCCGCAATCCTAAGCCCACTTCTGTACTAACATTGTTAGGATTGCAGCCTTAGAGCCACCCAAATTATTTGATTGCCTGTAGATTCAAGACAATCAAAATAAAGTTTTCTCTCATGCAACGTTTAATTAAAATATGGAAATCACAACCGCAAGACATGCTGATGATCACTAGCACTTTTTAAAAGAGGTAAACAATTTAACAGAGGAGAAAGCCAACCAACAGCTATTAGCCAATGAAAACTAAATGAAACTGCCACAATCAGAAATTGATACGGGTAGCTAAAGGGCAAAGCAAGGGAAGGCTAAGGGTGTCCTGGAGGCATCTGGCTGGCCATTCTTAAAAAGCAGAATGATGAAACTAAATTGACTTGGGGTGCTCAGACATAACTGTTTATATTCTAATTTATGCCAAATGTAATGTCTATAATCATGTCCAAGTTGGATATAATTATTTTATACCAAGGTTTTGTCAAAGCTTCTGCAAAGGATCGTTAAAAGAAGACTCAGCAACATAAAGCATTATCCTTTTCGCATTCTTACTGAAATATTCTGACAAATTATTATTCCCATATGCCAAGCAACATATATAATACTTAAAATATGAAGGAAACATCATTATTTTTGAAGACACAAGCTGTTTCTGTTAATGCGCTTCTCAGCACGATTGGTAGTCTATAGGAACAATAAAAATAAGCCCTTGGTATCTTTTAAAAATAATAATAATAATAAATAAATAGCACCTCATTTTCTGACAGCTTCTTTGTCCTTGAAAATCTGACTTTAGAGAATAGTCTGTGCTATGAAAAATACAAAGATGTAACATATGTAGATTAGTTAAGTTGTTGTTGTTTAAGAAAAACCTCACTCTGTCAGCTTGTCTTTGCTATTGAGTATAGATTTCTGTAATTGTATATCTGTTATACTCAGAGGTTCCAGCTTATGTGGCTTGTCAACTGAGTTATGAAGAATAAGTCAGTGTACTACTCACACTGGTTACATTCAAGCTCTGGGTTTCAAGGGCAGCAACCTTCTCAGTACCAGGTATGGAGGAGCAACAAGAGAAGACTGTTGTCTCATGATCATCTGGTTGACTACCATGGGAAACAGGATAGGAGCGCCCACTTCTAGGAGCTGAAACCCCTTGGGGCCCCCAATATTTGTTAGTGGGGAGGCTGTCCACCTTGATGTTTGTCTGGACATCATGCATGATGTCATGAGTGATGTCACAATGTTGTGTGTGACGCCCAGATGCAGTGCTGTCACACAGGACACCTGGATGTAGCACTGTCATGCAAGCCAGCAACACTGTGGCTTGTTCTCCTCTGCCTTCTCCTGCTGTGGAGAAGAAGCAGCCCCTGGCCCATGGCAGCAGCAGGAGGCAGAGAAACTGCCAGCCATGGAAGCTGAACTGCCATGCAACACCCGGACATTGTGTGCAACAGCGTGTCTGGGCATCACGTCCAACATCCAGGTGTCACGCACGATGTGACATCATGCACAATGCCTGAAAGTAATGTTATGACATCACACACAACCTTAGCTCCCTCAATTGCTTTCCTGAGTTGGCAGACCTGTAGCAGGACCTTTGATCTGATCTAGCAGGCTGTGATCAAGCAAGTGGCTCTCATTTCAGTTCTGGTCTATGAATAGAATTGTTGGGGCTCCTCTGTATCCTCTGTGGTGAGAACTGCAGGGCCTGCTCCCTTCCAAGGCCTTTTCCACAGCTGGCCCAGGGGGCGGGGTCCAGGCCCTCACACTCCCAGCTACAAAAGGACTCCTGTGGCAGTGAGGACTTGGACCATCGGCTATGGTGAGGATTGCAGGGCCTGCTCCCTTGCAAGGCCTTTTCCAGCTGGCCCAGGGGGCGAGGCCCAGACCCTCACATTCCCAGCTACAAAAAGACTCCTGTGGCAGTGCCTAGAGAATGGGGCTGGACTCATTTGGAACAAACTCTTGGGGAAGTGTGGGGTTGTTCTGCTATTGCTTCCCTGCTCCAAGTGTCTAATGTGTTTTAAAATGTCCTTAAGCAGTCGGTGGCATTTTAAGCTTTTCCTTCTCTCCCTCCCCCCTTTTTGCTTTGTTGAGGGGTGGGAGGGTGGGATGGATATCTGGTTGGGGATTAATTTTAGTATAACTGTTCTGTTTTTGTTTTTTGTTGTTTTATTGGTTGTTGTATAGTTTGCATTTTGTTTTTAAGGGGCGGGATCAGGGCTGCCTGGGAGTGGGCCCCAGCCAACAGAATGGCTGGGGCAAGTTCGACAGGGGGGGATGCACTGGGACATCCGATTTCAGTGATCATGGGCAGGAGAAGGAATTACACTAAGACCAGATCATGTCATTACTGAGGAGGCAGGCTTAGTCATTGTTTGAAGACTATCCCTGCCTTCGGGTCCGGTCTTGACCGGATGGATACTGGAATCAACAAGGGAAACCCACATGACCTGAAGGTGTTGCTGTACAATGCCAGGAGGATGGAGGATTTGACCTGGCATGTGTAACTTGGTTGGATGAAGCAGATGGTCCTGTCCTTGCCGCTGCTTGTCCACCAGGTTTCTCTTATGCACAGCAACCCAGGTAATGTGGGCAGGGAGGGGGGTTGCAGTGATTTTTAGGAGGTCACTAGCTTGCATCAGGCATCCTGCTAGGAAGACCCAATTCTCTGAGTGCATGTTCTGGAAGTTGGGCAATAGGGGCAGTACAGGATTCCTTTTGGTGTACCGACCTCCCCGCTGCACCAAGGATTCCCTGCTCGAGCTGCTTCAGGTCATTGCGGATGTTCTCCTGGAGACACCTAGTTTGGTTGTCCTAGGGGATTTTAACATCCACGCTGACACGACCTTACAAGGGGCCGCTCGGGACTTCGTGGAAAGCATGGCCTCTATGGGGCTGTCCCTGAATAAGTTTGGCCCAACTCATAGTCACAGGCATGCCTTAGACCTGTGTTCACCTCTAGTGATGTGGGTGATCTGACACTAAGTAAAAGTGAAACAAAGAAGTGCCATGGTCAGATCACTTCCTGGTGCAACAGGACTTCTCCACGACCCTTCCCCTCTGCAGGGAGGTGGGGCCAATTCGGATGGTCCGCCCCCACCACTTAATGGATCCAAATGGTTTCCAGAGAGTGGTGGGGATGCTTTATCCCATGTTGATGGCCTTTCAGCTGATTCCCTGGTGGCTCGCTGGAATGTGGAGTTAACCAGGGCTATCGACTGTTTGGCTCCGAAGCGCCCTCTTTGATTGCATGGAGCCCAGATAGCCCCATGGTTTTCTTCAGAGCTGAGGGCAAGGAAACAATCGCTGAGATGGCTGGAGCGCCAGTGGCAGAAAACTCATTCTGAATCAGACTGGACACAGGTTAGAGCTTAACGTCGAGCCTACCAAGTGGCAATAGTGACGGCAAAAAAGACTTTCTTCACCGCCTCTATTGCATCTACTTTGGCTCCCAGTACGTTTCCGAGCACAATTCAAAGTATTGGTGTTGACCTTTAAAGCCCTAAACGGCTTCGGCCCAGTATACCTGAAGGAGCGTCTCCACCCCCATCGTTCAGCCTGGACACTGAGGTCCAGCGCCAAGGGCCTTCTGGCGGTTTCCTCACTGCGAGAAGCAAAGCTATAGGGAACCAGGCAGAGGGCCTTCTCGGTAGTGGCGCCCACCCTGTGGAACGCCCTCCCATCAGATGTCAAAGAGATAAACAACTACCTGACATTTAGAAGACATCTGAAGGCAGCCCTGTTTAGGGATGTTTTTAATGTGTGACATTTTAATGTATTTTTAATCTTTATTGGAAGCCACCCAGAGTAGTTGGGGAACCCCAGCCAGATGGGCAGGGTACAAATAAATTATTATTATTATTATTATTATTATTATTATTATTATTAACAAAGTAGCAAATTCCAAGGGATTCCAAGCAAATTCCAATTTCTGATGTGTTATACGGCTATCAACAGGCTTCTAAATTTTCCCACCAAGTCATGTATTGTTTTCAGATAATGCAATGAACCACTGGGTGTATTAATTTATATACTGTCACAAAAACATGGTTCTGTGAATAGAGCTATGCATTAAACCAAAAGGCTTCCCTGCATTACAGCTTCCAGAGCTCAAACTTGCATGCTGTTCCTTTGTAAAGTTTCTACCGTGTTTGAATCTAAGCCACAACACTTTAATATATTGTTAAATTATTATTTTGATGGAGGGGGGTAACAGTAGGCTATTATTATTACTACCATTGTCATCATTTTGTATAGAAGCTAAAACAAAACAAAACAAAACAAAACAAAACAAAACATAACTGAGTAACAAACACCAAAAGAGAAAGAGAAAGATGTCCAGGACTAGAAACGAGAATGGGATTTCTACCTTTTTAAGCATTTGAATAGCATTTTATTAGATACCTCAAAATGATTATAACACGATTCACGCGCAGAAATACACTAATATAGAATTATTGGGTATGTGATTGTTTTGTGTACCAGCAATCACTGACAAAAGCAGAAGGGAAAAGCTGAAGGAGAGCTTAAGGATAGAGCAATTCAACCAAAAACTCATCATGTTTCTAGTTTAAAAATATATTCACCACCGAGTCTGTGATAAATTGAACTGTGCTGCTCTATTCCAAAACACAGCATGTTTGTAGTAAGAGCCATAAAATAATACAAAAGCAGTCCTGAATGTGAGTACGGTTTACATGCGAAGAGTTAATAAATTGTTAAATTTCTTACTTAGATTCTGACCTATACTTGCAAAGTATTTTTAAAAGGCACCATAAAAGAAATGCCATAAAATCCATAATGCCACAGAAATCCTAAGTCCACAGTCTGTCTCTTTAGCAGTTTTAGAGGCATTAAGGATGAAGAAGAAAGTCAAAGGGATTGGTCTGCGATATAGAAGTCAAATGAGTGGAAAATTCCCTCAACCATGGCTTTCGTTCAGAAATGGGAGCAGTATTTTGTTCAACCATGAAGTATCATGGGGATTATCTCTTTGAATGTTGTCGACTTTTTTTTTTTTTTTTTTTTGAACGGGGTTCTATACTGCAGTGCAGTTTGCCATAATTATTTTTTTGGGTAAGCCATGGGGAGATGAGATGTGACTCAGATAATGCTATTGTTTTAGTCCAAAGGGGATTCTTGATTATAAAAGTGGCCTGATAGTGGGTGAAATGGAACATTCACTTATTTATAAAGCAGTTTGTTTGTTTGTTTGTTTGCTTGCTTGCTTGCTTGCTTGCTTGCTTGCTAAAGCTTTTATGTCTGAACTTCATATAGTTCTGATCCTCTTGGGTTTCTAACACAGGCAGCAAAGCAAGCATTAAGTTTTCATACTATAATATAAAACTTTGATCATTAAGACTGAACATAGCTTTAAAGGTGTTATCTCAGCTTTAATAACTTACTCACGTCCTTGTCATTTAAGCATTTTTTAGTTTGGGCATATATATTCTAGCACCAAATTACAACCAATAAACTATGAAAAGAAGTACCAAATTGAAAAAAAAGTGTTTGATTTAACATTCAACAAAGACAAACCATTATATGGGTAGTATCATTTTGGTTATTATAATAAAGGCTGAGAAAAATAGAATGAACTAGGACTGCGGGGAAGGAAGCAATAGTCCCTGAGTGAAACTATCCTCTGCTTTTTAGCAATTCTAATAGAAAACAGTATATTTTGCCTTTCTTGCCAGGCATAGAATATAGGTCAATCCAGACGATACAGGAAATGTGTTTGAATTTCTTAAGGAAAAATGGCAGCGGCGAGGTGGGGCTCCATTTCAAACAATGCCATGGCATGAAGAAGAGGCTTCTTCTCCATATGCCATTTTTTCTAATGAAAATGTTGTCCCTCAGAAGTGCTTCTTTCACCTTCACTGGCATTAAGATTATGGTCTCTCTATGGGTCACCAGTCAGTGTTCAGTGAGCTAGGCACAATGGCAAAATGGTTTCTCTGAATAGGGAGTTTAACTACAGACTACATGAATATCCCATATTTTGATAATAAAGCAACAATATCTAAATGTAATGGAGATTTTGAGCAGTATGGCAACTCCTCACTTATCATATTTAAGAAGGATATCAATGTTCAGGAAAAATATGACTGCTCAATCAAATAAGGATATGTATTATACAGATTGTACTGCATTCTGCACGTCTTAAATATATTGCATCATCAAAATTCATTTGCCTATATGTTATGCAACTAGAAGAATGATATATTTCCTACTGTGATATATTCCCTACTAGGACTGTATTCCTACTTGGACTACTGCAATGCACTCTGCATAGGGCTATTTTTGAAGATGACTTAATTAATCCAGAATGTGGCTGCTAGACTGATGACTGGGAGCAGTTGCCAGGACCACATAACACCAGAGCTAAAAGGTTTATATGGGCTCCCAGTACATTTCCAAGCACAATTCAATTGTTGGTGTTGAACTTTAAATCCCTACATGGCTTCTGCCCAGTATACCTGAAGGACCATCTCCACCCCCTTGAGGTCCAGCTCCAAGGACCATCTGGTGCAGGCATCCCCAACCTAGGGTGTTTTGGCCTACAACTCCCATGATCCCTAGCTAACAGGACCAGTGGTCAGGGATGATGGGAATTCTGTCCAAAACATCTGGAGGGCTGAAGGTTGGGGTGCCTGTTCTGGTGGTTCCCTCACTGTGAGAAGTGAAACTACAGGGAACCAGACAGAAGGTATTTTCAGTAGTTGCACCCACCCTGTGGAAAGCCCACCCAGCAGATATCAACCACTGGTTCTTAACCCCAGTCCTACTAACTCATATTCTTAGATCTGGTTCCCCCTTATGCTTGCAGAATTGTAAGGTATGAGGAACATATTGGCGTATGTGGTGGAGATGTAATTACATAAGTTTTGGAAGCAGGTTGTAATGGAGATTGGTTTTATTGCTGGCAAACAGGTCACTTTGGACACTAAGCTATGTCTCATCCATTTTTGATGATACCATTGCTGACTTTACTTCTCAACAATTAATTCTATATCTATAGTTGCCGCTTGTCTAGAGATCTCTCAAGGGTGGAAGGATACATATTGTTATTCTAGGGATCTATGGTTTTAAAAAGTCATGTTCATACTGTTTCTAAAAAAACTGATTCATAAAATAGCAGGGGTGATGCGTAATTCTCTGACTTTGCTTCCGCTTGGGCTCAGTTTATGATTTATATGACCAAACTATCTCATGGTCAACACATTCCCATTAAATTTGAGTTTATTTCGCAACATTCATGAATATTTGGTATGTTTAGTACATATATGAGCCTTGCATTCCATTGTGGAATATATTTTATATGTGGAATATATTTTATATATATTCAGTCTTTTAAAGCTTTCTATTATTACTGTGATTATTATTTGTTGTTATGACTGTTTTTGAGAATAGATCATGTAAACCTAAAAAAAAACATCGGCTTGCTGCTACTATCAAACCTTTGGAACTTTCCATATCACATGCCCATACTAGCATATAATGAAGTCAAGTTAAAACGACATTTGAAAGGATGAATTTGCTGTTTTTATTCTTCAAACCATAGGCTTTTGAATAACTTTTCCAGTATTCTCATGGATATGATATGTTTGAAATTTATTGTAACAGAAGCCTTATAATCAATGTGGAAAGGTTTATGCCTTGAGAAAACTAAGGCTTATTTAAAGAGAGGGCTCATACCAAAATCACAGAGCAGTAATTGGAATTGAACTCTGATGGCCTCGGAATCAGACAGAGGCACTGAGGCAGCTGCATTTTTCCTTATAAGTAGACCCATAATATAACCAACACCAATTGTTTATTAGTAGATGAAGGTGAGAATAATGAGCCTTTAAGAACACTAAGGAGTCTTTGGAAAGCTAGAACCTCAAGTTTGAAGAGGTGGCAGGAAATAAGCTGGGACATAAGAAATCCCTGATGAGTAAAATGGAAAGCCCATCAGTATTTTGCTCAATAGTCTCATCATTTGCAGAGATGCATAGTGAATATTTCGAAAATGTTATAAATTTTACACAACTGCCCTCCCTTCTTAATTCAGAAACAATATATGTAATTTTAGGCTGGATCTAGACACATCAAAGAAGCATTTCAGAAAAATGCATTGTAACCTTTATAATGAGAAATCGTGTGGAGAAAAATGGAACTCCACAATGCCATCTGGTGTCACCGTGTTATATCACATATAAAACGCTTTTTCTTTACCAGTGTAACTGAGTCCTTAGTTCCCAACCCCCACACACAAACACAGTTTTTATTACTCTTTCCACATTTAAAGTCCAGAATACATACTGAAACTTTGCCCACAAAAAAGATAAAGTCTACATTTAAAATGCTACTTAATTATTTATCTGTTTTAATGGAAGTTTTTGGTCACTAGATTCTCTGGGGGGGGGGGTGGCGGACGAATAACTCATCTTCAAAATTTCTATGCATGAGAATATTGGCTTGCATCCATTTTTAAACAAAATTTGTCTGGGTTGAACAGCATTCCATTTGATCATAAACATACCTTGGAACTCCTACCTAAATAGTTATGAATGACCATCAAGGGAGTGTGTGCAGGGTGGCATTGGACTCCTGGCTTCCCAATGCTGCTTGTTGCTGTCAGTTAAGGAGAAAGGGAAGCAGTGGGAGCTTGGTACTGTGCAGAGGCAGTGTCAGGAGCACAGGATTGGTTGCACCTGCACAATGCCAGGTTCCCCACTGCTTTGCCCCTCCCCTTCTCCCCCTTTGTAATCAGTAGCTGCTATAAGATACAGTAGTGTATAGCAGAGCTTTAGAAGCCTGGATTTCATTCTGCACATTATAATTTTTTTAGGCATTTTAAGGGAAAGGGCAGGGCGTGGGTGGCGCTGTGGTATAAACCACTGAGCCTAGAGCTTGCTGATCAGAAGGTCGGTGGTTCAAATCCCTGCGACGGGGTGAGCTCCCATTGCTTGGTCCCAGCTCCTGCCAACCTAGCAGCTCGAAAGCACATCAAAATGCAAGTAGATAAATAGGTACCACTCTGGCGGGAAGGTAAATGGCGTTTCCGTGAGCTGCTCTGGTTTCACCAGAAGTGGCTTAGTTATGCTGGCCACATGACCTGGAAAAACTGTCTGTGGACAAACGCCCGCTCCCTTGGCCAGTAAAGCGAGATGAGAGCAGCAACCCCAGAGTCGTTCGCGACTCGACTTAAATGTCAGGGGTCCTTTACCTTTAAGGGAAAGGGGTGCTTTGTTGACTTTGCAGTTTAGACATAATTGTGTGAAGGATCACTTTAGACCCAGTTTAGTTATAAGCATTCCCTGTCTAGAGCTGGTGCCTCTCTAGAGTTAGTCAAGGCATGAACATCTTTTGGAAGGAATAGATAAGATCATGTTGACAACAAATTAGATTTCCTTGGGTAATTTCCAACTCTGTAACACTCAGAGCAAACCCACTGAAATCAATGAACTTGACCATTGTTTCCAAAGAGTCCACTCTGATATGACTGACATTGAAGAAAACCTACTGGAAAGATTATGGGATATGGAGTGAAGTGCCCCCAAACTTTTGGCCATTCTTGTGACATTGGCAAAGGGCAGAAATATCAACCTAGGGAAGGAATAGGAACCTAGGAAGCTGCCTTATAGCATTGCTTCGTACAGTTCAATATTGTACACTAACTGGCAGAAATTCTCAGTGTTTTTGGACTAGTGTCCATCCTGCATATACTGGACATTGAATTTGGGACTTTCTGCATGCAGAGAAGATGCTCTCCCCAATGAGATGGCCCTCCCCTAAATCCCATCACGATTAGTTTCTAGTTTTGTTTTTCATACCAACCGATTACTCAACTGTGGGGGTTTTTTAGAACTAGGGAGTTGAAATGCAATTCTATGGCGTCAAGTGAGTGAAAACATTTAATGGGTAACTGTACTATCCAGGCAATCTCATATGTGCTAGTCAGACTGCAATTGGGGCAGCTTATGTGATCTATATGTAGCAGTCCTTGTTTGTTTCTTTTTTAAATAGTACAGTATAAGATGCTTTTAGGCATCTACTTAAGGTATATTATAATGGAGAATCTCTAGGTATATTAGATATATAGATGTAAATTCAATTCAAGTTATATGGAAGCAAAGGTCAAATCAGATTAGTGAATAAATATAACAAGTAAAACTGAAATTGCAAACAAGAAGAAAAAGTGAAATTTGTTGAACACATTATTATCCTGTGAAGTCACATCCATCTTTGTTTTCTGGAAATCTGATTTGTTGGAGCTCTTACTGAAGATTTTATCAGTCTAAGTGAAATTTGGAGAGGGTTTGCCCATTTGTTTATCTGTCACTGTTACTGTTCCATGCTATCCCTTCTCTAACCCCATATCTCTTAAGATAATCAATCAACCTAGTCATTTGAAGCCTGATGCTGCAAAGACTCTCCTCAAGATGGCAGCAACAGTCTGCAACCAGTATATCAGCTATAGAACCAAGAATTCATGCTGCCTTTTCCTCTTGTGAGCTTGGTGTCTCACCTCATTGGCATGCCCAGCCTTTGCTTGATTACAGAATTATACTAACATCTGGAATATGGCAACTAATTCATACACCAGGCCAAGAAGATGTCCCATATGATCACCACCTTCAAAAATGCCATCCAGAGTGAAGCTTAAATAAATATCCCAGCTGCATCACTTTGTACCCTGATGACTTAATTAATATGAATGATGTGCACAAGGTAATAAAAATTACCCAAAAGGGAATCCACTCCCACAAGCTACACAAACGTATGAGATTTCTGCAGTCCTTGCAGATGCAAAAAAAAGGGGGGGGAATTGTACAAGAAGAAATTATATACTTACAAATTATACTCACAGTCCTGCTGACAGCAGTGATTCAGTAGTGCTAGGCAGTAACTCTGCAAAATCATTCTGGATAAACAGTAGAATCAACTGAAAGCTTCCCATATTTATTGCAGGATCCCCCAAAAATGATAAGACATATATAGGCTGGTGGCTCTCAATCCTTTCAGACCTGGGACCTACTTTCAACCCAAATATGGATTTGATGACCGTTTTATTCTTAATTTTTGCCATATATTTGTATGGTGGTAGTGCTGGTCTTACAACCCAACTTAGATCAGGCCCCAAACTGGCAGTGGTTCCAATTTTCAGGTTCTCCATGAGGCAAAACGTTTGGAAATCACTGGAATAAGAAGTTCTGGTTTAATACAAAAATAGGCATGTCTTATTTTTGTTTGTTTTTTTAATAAAAAGAGGTGCCAGAACTCACCATGAACACCTCCCTCATTCTCTTAGAATGCAAATGGCGCCCACCTGAAAGGTGCTGGAACTGAGTTCCAGAGAGTTCTGGCTGAAAAAGAGCCCTGGACATGTCCACTTGATGTTGTAGGATCTTTGTTTGTATAAAAGTACTGAAGTCAAACTAACAAGCTATTCAGAGAGTGATACACACAAATAGACTGAATATATGTCTTCTCATAATGGCATAAATACATTAAAGTGTAGCAATGGATGATAAATACCACGGTTAAAAATGTTCTCCACATATCCAATACCCTTCCATATCTCAACCCTTGTAAGCAAAAAAGAAAACAGCCCAAGCAGCTGATTGGAGGTAGAAAATATATGGTCTTAAAGCACAATTCTTCACAGACTCCTTAGTGACTCAGATCACAAGGCCTACATGAGTGTAGTTCTCACACTTGCATGAACAATGAACACCACTGGGCAAATCATCCACTCATCAAGTACTATCATTAAGTCAGAGACATGGAAGTCAACATACTAGCAGAGGGATTATTCAGCAAACAATATTCTGGTTCTTGACAAGAGGAAGTCAAGTGATGCAACAAAATACTATGTGTCTAGGGAATAAAAGAAACAACGAAGCATGCAGGAAACCAGATAAAATTCCAGGGGAATGCCTAACATTATAGAATATAAAACCATGATCAGTCACTTTCCATTGATGCAAGGTTTTGGTGTCCCTAATCAGGCAAATTGCATCTTGGGGTCACATATTGTCATTGGAAAAAGGCCACATGTCATAAAAGTCATTCAATGAATCAAGGGAAATTCAGAATGCATTCTGCAAGCTACCATCTGTACTCATACAGAATTGAAACATCTTACCTTTATGGTTTTCAACAGGCAGCCCATGGGTCACATCAAGGCCACAGAACTTCTGTCATTCTTTTCTTTCATGTTCCTGGTGCCAGCTCTTTTGGTTTCCCTCTTCTGGTTGGTAAGAGCGCAGCACAGACATCCGTGTTACCTTCTGAACTTTTCTGTGCGCTGGGCTGTTGTTTCTTAAAGGCTACACAGTGATGGATATTAATAAATATCAATCATCACTACCATATTTGTTTATCATGAAGTTTTGAGAAGCTAAGTTACTTTCCCAACGACTAGTTAATTCTAAGTGTGCCATAGGCAATACTACTGCAACCAAATCCTTTTGTTTGAACCCTTGATTACTCTCAGTTGAAAAGACTGCTATCAGCTGGGCCCAGGTGGAATGGCTAATTGGGAATGCAAGTTAACTTTGAGAACACCCCCTCCCAGAACATTTGTGCAAAAGAGCAGCTCCACTACATATGAAGGAAAAATCCTTTTTCTCCACAGCGCCTCCAACATTATGGTGAAACATTCTTTGTTATATCTCCAGTGCTATCTCAGAATTAATTTCAGAGTGGCCTCTTGTGTTTTCAGTGATGTATTAACCACTTCAACTGTATTTTACAGACATTCCTAGGCCTGTTTGTATGTATTTATAAAAAGTGTGTACAATTTCATATTATTGCACGCCACCCTAATGGTTCCAAGAGTTCTAGGTGCTTACCCGGAGTTCCTTTTGAAAATGAGACTGTGGTGTCTTTAGGAAATATGGTTTATTTACACATATATGCAACCTGAGCCTATGATGGAGGGGTTCACAGCCCTAACACCCCAAGAGGGTATCATTTCTCCCATAGCCACAGCCTTGGATTCAAGCAGAAATCAGCCATGGCTTTTCTCTCTGCCTTTCCAGTCTGCAGCTTTTTGCACCCGCTTTCAGCTCACACAACAGCAAAACTCTCCCCTCAAACTCCTGTCTTGCTAACTATTTGAGAGCTAGAGAAGGGACCAAACCCAGCACAGGGCCTCTTTCCTTGGTTCTTTCAATAGTCCACTCCCTTTCATTTTGTTCTCTTAATGGGTCATCGCCCCAGGCAAATCAAAATATAAGCCAGGCTAGCTTCTTATAACACTTGCTTGATTCAAAGGTTAAAACATGGGTAGGTAAACTAAGGCCCAGGGCCCGGATCTGGCCCAATCACCTTCTAAATCTGGCCCATGGACGGTCCAGGAATCAGTGTGTTTTTACATTAGTAGAATGTGTCCTTTAATTTAAAATGCATCTCTGGGTTATTTGTGGGGCATAGGAATTCGTTGATTTCCCCCCCCCAAAAATATAGTCCGGCTCCCCCACAAGATCTGAGGGACAGTGGACCGACCCCCTGCTGAAAAAGTTTGCTGACCCCTGGGTTAAAAGGTCTGGCACCCACAACCCACAAACTCATAACAGTATAATAAAAATGTCTAAGTGGTTTACCTAATAACAAGTCTAAGATGAATCATTGTGAGAATGAGCACCAAGTCACTCTTGCCCTGCATTAATATTTTCCTCACACACAGATAGAAAAATGCAGATCCGTTCCCAGCTGTGCTCAGTTTTTGTCCTGTAAGCACATACTTAGCTTAGGATCTTGACATACTGGGAGTTGATCTTATTTTGCCATCTATGAGCTGTCAAACTTTTAAAGAGACTGTGGAAGGAAAAAAAAAAAGACATGGCAAAGGAGGTGGGGAGAGACCTGACCCAGCAAACAGCTATAAGGCATCATCTGTAACGGATACACAAGAGCCCTCGATGCTGAACTCAAATCCCCAAATCCCCCCTCCCCTTTTTCATCTGCTTCCCACCCGTTTGCTCTCCCCTCTGTTCTCCCATCTGGTGGCAGCTGTGTAGATCTGACAAACGCTTGGAAACTTTCAACTCGGCATTCTGCTTTGCTTTCCAAATTCATTTACTGTTAACTTCTTAAAAGCTTTCCCCCCCCCCAAAAGCAGTCACTTCAGGTGACATGTTTTCAGATTTCCCCGATGTTAAGGAGGCAACGTTGCTACTATTTATGTTACTTGCCCTCCCCTAATGCATATCTTTATTGCTTCCAGATTACACTGATCGGCAGGCACTTTATAGAGTAATATTCATAAATGACCCCATTGTTCAGCATGGTGCAGCCCATGCCTTTACTCATGGCAATAAATTCAATCACATTACTCTGGCCATGGCAGATTTACACTGGCTTCCTATCAGTCAACGCATTGACTTTTAAATTTTGCTCTGAGTTTTTCATTACCTATCTGAAACTTCCCTTTCACACCTATCAGAATTGGTCTCCATTTATATATGCCCTCAGTTCTTACTTTCTAATAATAAATCTCAAATTCATCAACCCCCTTGTCAGGTCTCTCATCCATGGGCAACAGAGCATTCACCTGTTATGCCCCTGAGCTGTGGAATTCCCTGAACTGAACTCTCATCTCTAAATCCCCTGAGCTTTTTAAATCCTTCTTTGATTCTCACTTATTAAAATTTGCTTTTAATATTTGATCCACTGCTGACATATGCTGGAGGCTTGACTGGTATAAAAATTATTATTATTTTTTACTGTATAGTCAGTGAAATGAAAGTTGCTAGTGATAAGAGTATATATATATATATATATATATATAAAATGTATAACCTATATAATATAAAGACCTTTTTACTTCAGTGAAATCAAACTCACAACAAGCTCTGATGTAACATTTTGCTTCCATAGGGTATATGTAATGTGAAAATACTATGTCAAAATAAGATATCCACGCAACTTCAAATATCAGCTGAAGAGTTAATACTGCTACAGTAGATTTATTAAGTAAATTGCCTGATCAATTCTCATAGAGCAAAAGCTATCCAGTGAATTCAAAATGTGAGGTCAGAACTAATCCTCAGTGCTTTAAGGTGATCCTGCAAACATGTGTGTATCTAAAGATTACATACAGATAATATAAAGAAAATTTTCTTTAGTACAACAATATTTCTAAAATAGAATGATAAGTAGAATATTAATATTTAAATAATTACACCAGTGAAAAATATGATTTTACTATTCACATGAAACATTGATAATTTTATAACATTTTATAACATTAAGCTTCCCCAACAAAAAAAGATGAATTGGCCAAATCTTACACTTTGTTATTCCAATAAGAGATAAACTCCTTTTCTTGATAAATTTATTTTCTCATTGCCTATTAGTTGAGTTATTTTTATGATTATCTACATTCATCTTTGTTATTTTTAGCTTTCATTCAAAGCCTCATTTATATACATACATAATGTATTTCTCTTAAAAGTGAGACACAGAGAACACCATCTCCTGACAACCTTGATTTAAGGGCAGGTTGGTACATGAGCATAGCCAGGGGAGCGGGGGGACAGTTGCCGCCCTAATTCAATAAAAATCAATACAACTATGAGGTTCTGCCCCGTAACAAAAGTTTGCCCCCCCAAAAGAAATTCCTGGTTATGCCGATGGGCTGATATAGGAGAAGAC